GTACTACCCAAAACAAAAGCATCCCTGTGTTCAATTGCTGCCTTAAAAAAAAAAAATTATATAATTAGTAGGTATCTAATAGTTCTGTATAATTGCTTGATCTGACACATAATTAACACTTTTATCAAAATGGATAATAGAACTACCCTGAAACCTCACTAGTTAAGCCTATTGGTAGAAATATTGGTTTGATTTGGAAATTTTCTTCTAGAATTTTATTTTAATTAAGTAATTCCTGTTACTATTAGTAGTAATTTGTTTTTACTATATTAGGCCCCCTTGTATGAGGTTTTGGTTACCTGTGGTCAACTGCAGTCCAAAAATACTAAATGGAAAATTCCAAAGTAAATAATTCATAAGTTCTAAGTTGTGTTCTGTTCTGAGTAGCTGGATGAAATCTCATGCCTTCCTGCTGTGTCCTGCCCAGGATGTGAATCATCCCTTTGTCCCTTGATGTGAAACATCCCCTTGTCTGTATCCCTGCTCTGTATTCTGCCCACTCTCTGACACTTAGTAGTTGTCCTGGTTATCAGATTGAATGTAGCAGTACCGCAGTGCTATGCTCAAGTAACCCCTATTTTAATGAAAAATGGTCCCCGAGGGCAAGAGTAGTGATTCTGGCAATTCAGATATGCCACAGAGAAGCTATAAAGGGCTTTCTTTAAGTGAAAGGGTGAAAGTTCTCAATAAGAAAAAAATCCCATGCTGAGGTTGCTAAGACCTATGGTAAGAAGTAATCTCTTATCTGTCAAATTGTGAGGAAGGAAAAAGTGATTGGTGCTTGTTATGCTGTCACACCTCAAACTTCAGAAGTCACTGGGGCCCAGAACATGATGTGTTCAGTTGCAGTGGAAAAGGCTTGAGATGTTAAGGTTCAATGCTGTTGGTATTTTCAGGTGTCCACTGGGAGTTTGGCACACAGCTTCTGTGGATAAGTACTATATGTATTTATACCACCTAGTTTTGGTTTTAAGTAGCTATAAAATATTTTCCAATTCAATATGCAATAAATATTTTAATAGCTACCTTTATTTATTTGCAATGAATTTATCTTTATTTTCTTAAATTGGTTAAATGGGGATGCTGTACTTTTAGTATTAGTTTAACAAAATCATCATAGTACAGAGTTAAAATTTGAATCATAGTCAATTATAAATTCTGTTTTACAAAAGTACAGATCAATAAGATCCTATTTTTCTTTGAAGGGAAGGGAACTCATTCTTCATCAATATTAATGTTACTTCCAACTTTGTATTTAAAATATTTTATTTTGTACTTCCGGTCTCATCTGACTAAAACATTTCAGCTTCTCTTATGAGATTGGCTTAGGCATTTTGTATGTTATATTTTATGTCAAACATTTTGCTCCTTTTTTTGGTTAGTCCTGTCTTACTGTTTTTAAGCTTGAGCTGCATTCTCAATATCTCATTTATACCTAATTGTGTATGCAATTAGATCTTCTTAATATTTGATATTTCCTCATTTCTGCCTAAACATATTTTTGCCCCTTTCACAGATTGTTACACTACTTCTGAAATAATGTAGTAGCTACTGCGTACTATATTTGCGTACTTCCCCATAAAAGCAGCTTTCCCATCCTCTGTGCCTCCTATTCCCCTACCTGGTCCTTATTCCCTCCTTTCCTTCTTTCTTTCCTCTTTGGACTTTAACCTCTACAGACTTGCCTTATTGATTGGTAGAAAAAAGTGGTTTTTATAAACAAAATAATGTTTATTTCAACTGCCACAGACTGAATAGTTTCATCATCTCCTAAGGTGTTTGACTATTTACACTAGTCTTAGAAAAAAACAAAGATTCACATTTGAATGGAAAGTTTCAGATAAATTATCTGACTTTTCCTTTAACTATTGTAATTTTTTGTGTAAATTTCAGGGTTAGAATGGCTGAACACAGAGGAGCCTATTTCTGTCTACAAGGATCTCTGTGGGAAAGTGGTCATCCTTGATTTCTTCACCTACTGCTGCATAAACTGTATTCACCTGTTGCCTGATCTCCATGCTCTGGAACACATGCACTCCGATAAAGGTATCTGCTCTTTGATGAGTTTCTAACAGATAGCCCTGGGGTAGGCGAGTTGCTGACTCATTTGCTCATGGGAGAAAGCATTTGAAAGACTTCAGTGATTCTAAATGCTGTCTCTATGGATTAAGAACTCCCTGAGCCTTTTCATGAAGGGTTAACTTAGTGATGATGGTTTGCCTAACTCAAAAACAGAATTTAGATAAGGCTTATCTATGAGGATAAGGGCACAACTTTCTTTTTTCATGGTCAGATGTCTGAAAAGATCTTTTTGTATGTCTAAAAGAGTTACCTAAATTTGTTCTTTGAAAAAAAATGAAACATCTGGCCCTGATTGTATAGTATTCTCACTGTGATATAAGGTTTAAATTTTTTATTAAGAAGTGCAAGTTCTAGCTCAATTCTCTAGAAATATCTGTTAATATCAAATGACAAGAACTACAGTGGAATGCAAAATAACATACTTTTTCTTTCATCCCGCTTCATTAAAAAGCCATTTATTACAGTTAATGTTTTTCAGAGCACATTAGAAATCCTCCTTTATGGTATTACAGATTCCAAAAGTGAATGAGATTATATTTAGTATTTGCTGTAGAAGTTTGAAAAATTATCAGATTTTTTTACTTTAAAAAAATAGTATGAGAGGGGCTGGGATTGTGGCTTAGCGGTAGAGCACTCGCCTAGCACGGGCGGAACCCGGGTTCGATTCTCAGCACCACATAAAAAAAATAAATAAAGGCATTGTGTTGTGTCCATCTACAAAAAAAGATTCATTCTCTCTCTCTCTCTCTCTCTCTCTCTCTCTCTCT